AGTACGTGTAAATGGGTGGGGTAATTAGAACAGTCCGTGGAAAATACACGGGATTTTTTAATAAAAGTAATTTGAATTTTATATCTGTATTTTAAATTATTTTTGCACACATCCTTAGTATGATATGGAGAGGATATTCAGCTCTATTGCCTGATATGGATTAGATCGCAAACGGATAATATTTGACGGAGCCAGCTCTATTCAAAAAGCGACTAGTAAAATTTTTTTGTTCCAATTCTCCGCATGTGGGGAATTAGAACAGTCGAGATCGGTCAGCCGCAGATCTGCTCCTGATCCTGAAGGAAATGGAATTTAGAAAAATGAAAATGACTGTTCGACAGAAAATTACCTCCTCTACAACTCTTGCCAAGAAACTATCCAAAAATTTCTTAAGCTAACCGAGAGAGAACGAAAATACGGAGATTTAAAAAAATACTCTTTTAATTACCCCACCCCACCCTACAACTTGGGATCGTTATGACGGTGTTTATTATATTTGTTGTATAACAGAAGAGAGAGATTTGAAAATATTCTAAGTAAAACCTTGCGTCACATGAGAGGATTGAAGACCTGTTCTTGGAAAACTGAATCAGGAGGTAGTGTTTCTCTAGAAAATGACTCGGATCAATTTTTATGAGACTCGGACTCGGACCTCTACTTGAAGGCTACTAATTATGGCTCGAACTCGAATCAGACTCGAAAAAGTGGTGACTCACCCATCTCTGCTTAACTGAGAAAACTGTGGAACTTGCCTTCTTGTAACAAAACAAATGAAAAATGTTTCGTGTATTCATTGCGGAGAATTGGAGAAATAATCAAAAAACGATGAAAGACAGCGTTGTCTAATGGAAAATTAATATAGATCTCGGATAGTACTATAATGGACAATCGTTCTAGTAATTATCTAGATGATTTGAATAATTAAGCAAGTTGTTGTCCAGATAACGCCAGAGAAATTTTATGTAGTTTTCGTCAAAATTTTAAATCCATAAATCTTACATCTGCCTACCAGTATAAGCGCACTGTTATTTCTCTATAACTTTTCCAGTTTTCAGATCATTTGTTTAGTAGTTTGGTTGATTTTGAAACACGACACTGAACACTAAAAATAACAGTAACATGTTCTTTCTAGTTTTTGTCGCTTATACGTCATCTTTCTTCTAAACTCTTTTTACGTAATAACTGTATACTATTTAAGTTTGTCAAATTTATTAGAATTATAAAAGTTGGTTGTGGACGGACCATTTATACAGGCAAAAGCAATTTTAAATTTATCAGAAAGACGATTTTACATCAACTAATTAACAATTTGAAATCAGAATAGTATATTTTATGCAAATAATGGCTGAATTGCGCATACAAAACCAGGATATTGAAAAATTATGCTAATATAAAGACAATTATTATTAATGGTGGAACTGGACAACTTCATTTTTATAATGAATTTAATACGTTAGTAAAACATACTAACATACTCAAATACTAAAAAATGTACACAATTCTCTTCGTCCGAATGGAATACTCATTATTTTTATAATATTTCGAGGAATTCAGGAGAAATATCACACCTGTGTTATAGAAAGGAGCAGTTAGTTTTTTTTATTAGTGTCGAACAAATGTTCAACTGATACACGAGAAATTAAAAACAACAAGAACAAAAGAAAACAAAGAGTTTATAAAAATAAATAACGATCTGTACACACACACACACGCACACATATACATAGAGAGAGAAATAAGACACAATAGAATGTTTGATTTTCCAGATGATAAACAAACAAAGAGCAAGAAAAGGAATATAAACCACACTTCAAAACAAGAACGCAACTAATCTAGATACACAAAATGTTTCTCATTTTTCTTTCTTAAATACAACATTATACTATTGTAAGGTATTATTTGCATTATTGAAACTGCTACTTTTTCCCTTTTTGAAATCTTTCCTTAATTGTCTTGAATTTTCTCCCGGTACTCGACAACGTGGACAGTACCATTTTCCTTTTGGTTTTGTTGTTAAATTTACACAATTAAAATGAAACCATTCAATTTCACACGTTCTATTATCGCAGCAAATCATTTCACCATAAGACAACTATAGAATAATCAAATATCATTATTAGAAAGCGAAGCATTAACGCCGATTGAGAAGAATAGAAAATACTACAGATTCTTCCCACTAGCAAAAATAATGATCATTATCATTATCGAATACGTACTTGTGAACATAAGCAATACGTTGGTTCTTCACTATGCATCAGAACAGCAGCTTCATTTAGTTTCGGTTTTTTATTTCCATTAGTACCACCGGCACCGGCGCCGCCAGTGCCACCACTACCACCACCACCACCTCCACCACCATTACCACTGCTACTCGTACTTTGGGCATTACTTGTATGACGTTGAGAAGATTTTTTTCGATCACGACTATTTTGGTGAGAATCATGATCATTTGTATTAGACTAATAGAACAAAACAAAGAAAAGAGTTTGAGGTAATGGAAAATGGTATTTTTCAAGAACACATCAAAATATTACTTTATCGTTTTGATCGTTACATTTTCGTTTAAGATTTAATGCAGTTGATGACGATGTTGTCTTACGTTTCCACAATGATGTTGCTATACTGTCTCGTTTTAGATCATGTTTCGGATAATTGGAAGTTGAACGAGGACCTGGAAAAAATACAAAAAAATTAATAATTTAGCTTGTTTAACAGTTGAAACAACTCTTTTTGCTACATGTATGAAAGTATATGTTACGCTAGCTTGTTCATGTCTAATATTGCAACAACGATTTATTGTCATATTCATTAATCTTTTAAGTTAATTTCTTAACATGTTTAGATAATAAAATCTTTTATGACCAAATCCATATTAGTAGCAATCTCACATCATCAAATGAATGTTCTAGCATTAAATGTACCTGATTCCGAATCGTATTCGTTTTCCGAATCACATTCAAGATTATTATCCGATGATGAGCCATTATGTTGATGATATTGTTGATCAATTGATTCCACTAAAATACGAAAAATATATGATTTTAAATGAACAAATAATTCATCAAAGAATAATGTACTATATTTTTGGAATGCAGTTTTTAATTTTTTAGCTTTTTTTTCTGTTGAATCTAAAATTTGTTGACTTAGACGCATTTTATTATCTCCAATAATTTTCGCTTGTATAAGCGCATCAATTAACATTGTTTGACATTGTTGTGGATTATGTAATTGTAAACTAGTATCATTTTCAACTTGTAAATGATGGAACAATTCTTTTACACGTCGATAACAGTCTAAAAAATAGAATATGAAACAAATAGTTCTTAAAAGAAGAAAAAAGAATCAAATTTAATTTTACCTTGTAACGAAACATCGTAAGTTCTTATTTGCGTTAAGGAATGACTATAATCAACACCATTGTCTTGATAATCCATATACTCTTTCATATAATCAAACGCAATTGTTTGATCAATTGCCGTAGATTGACTCATCTTGTCAGATCTATCTAGAATCAAAAAAGTTAACAGAATTTTCTAATGGTACTGGGTTTAGACCGATTAAGATTCTAAAGAGCTTTACAATTAGAAATGCTAAAAGTGTTACAATTCCTTATGGATATTATTTTTTCAAACTTATGACAGAGACAAAATATACACTAAAGTTTTCGCTCTAGCAAAAGAACATCGTCTTTCTACAAATCCTGAATTTGTCTTCACTTCTATTCATATTTCTCTTATGAAAGGCCGATATTTGCAATAGTTCGACATTCTAACAAACTACACGTATTATATATTATTGTCCATTTCAAACATAAAAGAAAATGATATTTTTGGTGTTTATTATTCATAATAAGTTTAACATATTTTAATAACAGTTTAATTTTAGATGTTTAAAAGAATCATAAAACCATAAAAGAAAAAAACGATCCCGGCACTAGTGTACAGGAAAAAAATCATAGTACCAAAAAAAAAGAAGAACCAACACATAAAAGACTAAAATACATGCAATACATATATATTGAATTATTCTCAAAATCAAAAAGAAAAAACAAAAACATAATAATAATCAGATCAATGTTGACTGAAACGTGTTGGCCCGTTTAAATAATTTTGTTTAATTTGATTTATTGAATATCACTGTATTTGGCTTAGAAAATAAATTGTTAGAGAAACCATTAAGAATGCAAATAAAACCACAACGAAAATTGTATTATGAAGTGTCCAAACAAAACGAGGTGACGGTTTGGATTTAACCTTTTTCGGAACAACAATATTTGGCGACGGCTCAACTGGCTTGGTGAGAACACTTTTAGGTAGTGGCGATGGTGATGATAATTTATTTTCGGCAGCATTAGCACGTTTACGATTTTTTCGACTTGTGGTTGTTGGTACTGCTATTACAGGAGATAACGATGGCTGCTCAGTTCCAGTTTCACCTGATATTGTTGTTGATTCAGTATCGTCATTTTCATTGCTTTCAGAAGGATTACTTGTGAAAGATGGTGTGCGATTTTTATTCTTATTTTTTGCTGCAATACAAGTATCATCACATGGTAGACGATGACCACTCTTGTTTGTATTCACCTCATTACAAGGAACTTGATGAACCAAATGTTTACATAAACAACGAATACTAACCGATTTTGTACATTCTGATAATGGTGAACAGGGACCCGAATGACATTTCCATGTACATGCATGACCACAAGTTAACTAAAAGAAAAACAGCTGATTATGATGATTGTTTTAATACGGAGTAAACGGTACGTACTATTTTACTACAAGGTTTTTGACACGATTTTATTTTTTCTTGTTCTTCAGGTGAAGACGACGTAAACGTGTGACAATTTGAATAAAGAACTTCAGAATTACAATGACAACGAAATCTCAAACGTTGAAGACATCGAGGACAATCATTTGGATGACACATTAGCGGACATGAATGACTACAGCCATTGGGACGTTGTTTAGAACACATTTCTTCGCAATGAATGCAGCGTTTTCCTGCCTTGAATAGTAAGTAAATAAAATGAGACGTTTTTCTGATTAATATAGAAAAGAAACAACTTACCTCAACAGAATTTGGAGCATCTTTCACATCGTGACAGGGTAAATTACAGATATGATTTCCACACTTAAGTGTTCGACCACAAATTTTCCCGCAACAATATTGTTGAGCCATCGAACAAGGTACGAGTTTGGTCTGAACAAAATACAGTAAGATCAAATTCATTATAAAAGTCTCTGAGTAAACTCCTACATACATCATGAGCACCAAAACACGAGACACTTGTCTGTACTTGACATGGTGGACAGGGCAACGACTGTTTTATCAATTTTGATTTTTCCTTTAATGTCCACGGGACATTTGGCGTTGAACGCTGGCTCTATCAAAAAAATTTCAAGATTATTATTTACTATGATATCTACTAAAAATGCATCAATGCTCTCACACAGTTAGTCGAAATTGAGTGTTTTATGACGTGACTGGTCATGAAGATCTATTCCTTGATTGATGAATAAAACGTATGTCAATACTTTGTATGCTAGTTTAGAAAACGTTTCCTTTCACTCCGTAACTTTACACTAAACACCTCAAACGTCACAAGAGAATCTACTGTTAAATATAATTCCTTAGTATACTATAAGCCATTAGGATAGTATGCTTACTTCATCCTTCAACAATACTACATCATGACACATAACTGGACACATATGTGTACAGTTTAGTAGTGGAAGATTACACTTTTGTCGGCATGCAGGACAATCTCCAAAATGGCATAAATGAGGTTCACGTTGACGGTGATGACATTCAGATGATTTTCTAGAAAATAAAGTAGTTTTGATATTATACAATCAACCTAAATTGTTTTACTTCTTACAAACATAGTTTCGAACACTTTGGTTTTCTTGTCTGTTTTTCTCTACCACATGGAACAGTAACAGATGTTTGTCCACAGGCACATGTAACTTGAACTCGGTAAGTGCACGGATAACACGGACCTGACAACAAATCGATTATTATATTTGAAAAAGAAAAGGCATATTTCAAACCTTGATGGCACTGGTTTAAACACTTATGATTATGACAACCTAATTTCTTCTCACAAAGCTGTTCACATGGCGGGCATTCGCCATTGCAGCACTAGCATGGAAAAGCAAAACTGTTAAGACTTACAAAGACAAACGAGACAGGAAAAGAGATTTTATACCTTTTTTTTACATTGATGTTTACCACATATTCTCATTTTTGTGCATTTAGTTTCACATAAATATTCTTGACAACATGGCACAGACTTTTCTTTTAAGCCACAGCGACATTTTTTTGTTGTCATTTGACGACACTAAAAAGCACAAAAACTAAATCCTTGGCACATCCCAATGGCTATAATAGCTATTGATCTGAAGTTTAGCTTGAATAGTTTTGAGTTCGCATAGATTGAGCAACTCAACAATTTACAGGCCATTCGACTCCATAGTTCTCCAGTAATCCTAATTTTACCTTTTTTTGCAAGTTCTATAACAAGTCACATAGATACTTCTCAATTGCAACAAAATGTCGTGATGACTGTTATAAATACTAAATTCTGTTACAAGTGAGAAGTGACTATGTTACTTGTTACAAACGTTGAAAAAAAGTAAAAGTAGGATTTCTAGAGCAGAGATGGACGAGTGTATACTTGAGTAGTACACATACTCATACTCGTACTAACGCGTATTCCAAAAAGTACTAAAGTATCTCCCGAAAAACTGATGACCTCTTTTTTTACTATTTATGTATTAAAAAATCGATTTTTTCTGAAATGTTTTCGAAATCACCGGCTTCTTTTACTCAGAAAATGCTCATACGCTCAGTACTCGTACTCAGAACTTCGTGCACTTGCCCATCTCTGTTTTGGAGAACTATGGAACCGAAGGGATTGTTGGGTGATTAGCATATTGCTTAAGCTATGCCTATACAAAACTGTACTAAATTCACGTCGAATCTGAACCTACTGTTTCACAATCTCCTAGATGACATCGTCTCATACAAAAATGTTTTCCACAATCTAAGCGTTTTCCACACGTGTCTCCGCACGGCATAATGTCCTCTGAACATGGTAAGTTCTCGTATTCTAAAAGAAAAAATCATATAATAAACACATGTCATGTATGTAGTAGACGTACTTGTTTTTCCGCATGGACATGTTCTTAAACCTTCGCGAGGACATTTACCACATGCACCTGTGTGACAAATTTTTTCACATTTGTGAATAGAACAACTAAGTGGTCTATTACATGGCTAATCAACAACAAAAATGTCTGTAACAACTAATATGTAGTAGTTCAACACAACGCATACCTTGTCACACTGGAAAACAGCTTCATTACAATTTCTTACATCTTTCGTTCTTCCACATAAACAGGTTTTTAAACTTGTTTTATTGCATGGTGAGCATGAACCAGGATGACATATTTGTTCACATTTATGGTGCTGACAAGATAACAGTTTTGAACATTTTAAACTACAACTCCATCCTTTATAACCACATCGACGTGCAGTAGGTCCCGATTGTGAACAGTAACATCGGACATTTACTTGTTTTGCACAAGGTGGACAAGGACCAGGATGGCAAAGTAATAAGCAGATATGGCCGCAGTTTGGAATGAGATCTTTTCCACATGTTTGACCGCAGGAATGGGGTACACTCCACGGATCAAATGTTGGATCTATTTCTTTTAGACAATAACAATAATAGCGCTTTGGTGTATCTTTTTGATCAAATTCAGCTCGACATTTCGGACTAAAATACAAGATTCCACAAATTCAAGTAATGCCAAATAAAAATACTCTTAAAACATACCAATGCCACGCAACTGACTGTTGCTTTTTATTATTATGAGAATCATTATCTGAATGTAATAACGTCTGATATACACCATCTTTGATCCATTTCTGAATGCACACAATGTGAAATGCTCCATAACAACCTGAACAATTCCAAATCTAAGGAAGAAAATGTTATTTAATATAACATAAACTGTAAAAAAACAAGAATTATAAAAGAAAAGTATACCGTGAAACAAATCCAGAGGTGTTTTTGTAAGCCATAAGTTTTATCTCTATAACGTTCCGTTACAAAATGTATCAGAATTATATATTTTATAATATAAACTATTTAAAGCAGATTGCCATAACTCAGATGACAAATTACATTTTGGTAATAGTGTGCTCGCTCCTCGCGCTTAAAGTAACTAAGATAACAACTCTGATGATACTATTTCGGAGATTTTAAACGAAGACAAACACACGTACTGGGTCAGTTTTTTTGATTGAATCAATACATATCAAACAGATATTTGCTCCACTAGACAATGAATCGATTAAATATTGATAAGTACGACCAAGATCGTCGGATGTAACTTAAAAATAATAGAAAATAAGGTAACATTCATCCAAGATATGTGAACGATTCTTTTGCAGATTCTGTTGGAGTCATACCTCCTTTAAATGTATTTTTCGTTTTTTCTAAAACTTGTTTAATATAACTATCGTCTTCCTGATCACCGCCATCACCTTCTCCATCACTGTCATCTTGAAATTGGTTGTTGTTATTATATTCGTCATCTTTTAATGATTCATTTTCTACAGATAATAAACGCTTTATATTTTCATGATTTTGCTTAGCAATCCGTTCAAACCGTGCAGTTCTGAAGAAAAATATTAATAAAAATTGATAACATTATCCAAATGTTGTAAAGCACAAACAAAAGTACACTTACGCATCCATTCAAAAACTTTGTAAAGTGAGCCACAGAGAATGAATTAAAAGGCACTAAATTTGTGCTGCTGTATACTGAGACAACACATAAGAGAAAGAAGAATGAGTCATTAGTAATAAAACGAAGAACCAATCAAAAACAATTAACAGTCCACCGTGTAGATGTCTCTTAGACTCTCTCTCCGTGTAGATGTTGAAGTGTGAGATATGTATGTTTGATGGTGTTCGCTATTTTGTTGTCGCTATTTTGTTGTCCTCCCTTTCATTCTAAAACAAATAATAGCAATCTAAATGATCATTGCGTTAATTTCACGTTATTATTCTTATAATTTTTCTTCGTTCTATTCTCTTCATTGTCAAACATTTCAGGATCTTTCTAGTCTCATCCTATATATATATAGATAGTATATTTGTGTACTGAAAAATATTAAACCATTTATTTTATGTATCTACACATAGAAGTTTCGAATGAAAATGTGAAAAATTGTTTCAAACTCAATCATGTCGAAAAAAAGATACAAGCAATTTAATGCTTAATGTGTCTTTTAACCATGTTCATATCCGTTTTTGGACTATCAGTTGATTATGTATATGTGAAAACATTTTTGACAAATTTTTTCTGTTTAACAAATCAATAGTGTTAAAAAAGGTAGGAAAGCGTTCATGTATTAAAATTGTGTCTAGTTTAAGCTAATTGCTCTATTCTTTTCTTACAAATGAATAAACGTTGTTTTCTTTTATTTTTTAAAAATGCATCCTCTATGCATAATTGATTTAGCAAAGAAAAATAATCATAATGTGTGTGTGTTTGTGTATACAGATTTTTTTGGTGATAAAGAAATAATTTCAAATTTGAAAAAACTTGATAATACATTTCGTTACTCGTGATATCAAATGACAATTAAATTTGTAATTTTTTGCATGTTGTTTTTTTCTCCTAATAGAATGCCATGTTTCTAACACGACAAAAGATAATTTATTAGAAATAAAAAACTTCAAATAAATACTGTTATGAAAGCACATACAACAAGATGCAAAACGAAGGGAAGCTATGTTGATAGGAAGAAAAACAAGTGTTAGCGAACATTTTGAACAAATTTATCGAAAAAAAAACAACAAAATGCTGCACACAATTTGGCATATTGACTAGTAGAACAAATTTTTAAGAATACAACGATAAAAAACAATTTTTAAAGTAATGCACAAATATTAGCGATGTGGCACAATTTATTATTTTTTTCTCTATATATATATCATTTATTTACAAAGACAAATGATAAAAAGTTTTAAAGAGAATTCGGTCTCATCTACGCTCGCCAAATTAGCCATAAAACTATCTGGAGAGACAAATGCAATTTTTTATTGCCATAGGCTAGAAAATGTTATACACGTTTCTCAAATTTCTTATTTTCATGAAAAAAAAATAGTATTTAAGAATCAAAACGATTTGAATATGGAATATTATTCATTGTTCGTTGCTGATGTATAGGAAGATATTTTCCATTATTCGTTTTGTTACTGTTATTACTGTTATTAATAAACTTCTTTTGTGTTGTAACATAATTCATCGACTTTTTATCATTTATATATTGTCGTTCATCTGATAAATTTGTTCGATTATCATCTTCATCATATCCATTATTCGGATAATATTCTTCCACTTCTTCGTCATCATCTAATTGATCTGTAACTAGAGTATCATTACTCGCTCGAAATTTATTATTAGATTGTTGTTCTTGTTCATCATTATCCTCAAATACTTTCATTAATGTTCGAACAATATTTTCTAAATAAACATTACCACCGAGTAAATCAATTTCTTCAAATGTTGATTTTGCTAAATCATAACAGACACGTTTTGTATATTCAATTGAACCGAATTCATGTAATAGATTAACACAATATGTTTTTAATTCATAATCTTGTGTACGTTGTTTTAAAATATGAATTATTCGTGTATCACTATCGTGTGTATTTATTGCATGAATAATGGGAAATGAAAATTTTCCTTCTGTTAAATCTTCACAATAGGATTTATTTTGTGTATATTCTTTTGATATTAAATTACAATAGTCATCTCGAATTTGAAATAATAAACTTAACAGATGACATATTGTATTAAAATCTTGTTGTTCTGATGAAAATAATTGCATCAAACGAATTCCAAGATTAAATAGGCCACCACATTTTCGAGCAACCATTGTTCGATATTCATCTTCAGATGGGGCAACAAAATTATCTCGCCACCATATTTCCATACCTTGGCCATGATGTAATTCAATTAATTGTTCTAAAAAAAAAGAAAAAAAAAAAGACGACAAAATTAAACCGGGAATAAAATTTGAGAATTGAGTCATTCTAACTACCTTGTTAGATCAGATGACGCTATAGACAAAGATGATTATATCACATTAAAAGGTTTTTTACCTACGAATAGTTTTGTTACATCTGGATGATTTAACATTAACGCTTTGTCTAATGCAAGAAAATAAACAAAATTTGCCGCATTAATCGTCAATGGTACTCCATAGATTGTATGAGCCACTCTAAAAATATTCATATACAGTATAAATGACTCTGAGAGATAATTTTTCATAGCACTTTTAGGCCACTTTTTACTGGAAAAAAGGAAAATAGTTTTCAACAGATAAAGAGCTCATAGTTTCAAAAGCTCATACCATCTAGTTATTTTTCTCTTAATAGTGAATGGTATAGTGAAACAATTTCATGGAAGATATCATCTCTCATATTTAGCTTCTTGTTTCACACTACTAATTGTATTTCTTTGAATTTTTTTGTTACTTTTTACTCTAAAAGCTATAATAATGTTTTTAATACTTTCTGTTACAAAATAAAAATGCTGTCAAGTTTTATAAAATAAATAAAATAACTTACGGACTTCCACGTCTCAATTTTGAGTTATCTTGAATATCATCGATTAATAAACTTGCATTATGAAGCATTTCAATAATTTCACTAATTAGTACTAATTTATCATCGGAAATATGTAACCAATGATTGAATGCCTAAAAAATGAATAATTAATTCTTGAACTTGATTTTATTTTACAAATAAAACTAACTTCACAAAAAAGAGCTGCTGTAGGAAAGAAGTAAAAGTAAAAAACTTGTATTTATACACACTGCCATCGGGAGTAACACCACAAGAGAGAGAATACACGCTTATTTCGGTATATTCACTCTAACAGAATAGAGTACAACAAACGCCTGAAATTTACTTCTTAATAGTTAAATCTCTTGCTTTCTAGTCGTATTTACTTTTATTAATTTTGGTCGTATTTGTTTGCCCGGTATCGTTCGAATGTATTCATATGGTTCAAGTAATATCTTCAAAAATAAAAGAATATAGGATGAATATAATAAAATTAGCTATTACAAACTAACCTTATTTTCTGCGTCTGGATCAGTAGTTTCATTTTCCATACTTTTAGAATGAGATCTAACAAAGCTAATAATTCAGATATCTGAAATAAAATAATGCAACATTATTCAAATCACGCTTTTTTTTACATAACAGAATTTAGTTTCATAAATAGTCAACAAAGAATAACAATCTCAAAAGAGTACAAATTTTAAATCAGCAAATAGAAAGTAGTTGCTTGTTCCTACAATCGATTTAAAAATTTGAATTTTTAAGAAATCTCATTAGGCAACATCAAGTCTGTTGAGATGTTTTCGCCATCATATAGACCGTCTAAGTTGTTTGAAATTGAGCAACTTTCTTTACACATTTCAGGTATTTAGAAAGCTTTGAACAATAATTGAACAAATGATCTCACAACTATGGCTCACGACTCAATATTTGCGTTATTTTCTGTCTGTTTATTGGTAGAAAGGTTGTTCTGGGCATTCGTTGTTTGCACTTGCTCTACGTTTTAATCGTTAGGTACCACGATGATTTACATACTATCAACAAACAGATACAAAAACTTGAATGACACAAAAATTAACTTTCAGTATCGCTTTTGTCTATGTAGAATTTAGAATGGCTATCAATTTGGACCACTAAGTAGAGATCTGCACGCGCAAGGGAATTTCCGTGACTGCGAACATGCCCGTGCTGTTCGCGGCTATGGATGGTCAATCGCTCTCTTTGACGGGCACGGATTCTTGAAAACTTTTTTTGACCAACAAAAAATATATTCGAAGATATGAATTGTTTGTGATCGAAATATAGATAGTGAGAGACATGCCAAAAAAGAATAACATATTATTTACACGTGGACAAGAAAATTTTCTTTATACATACCATATGCAATCAGTTGCAAAAAAAATGTTTTCTTGCTGCGGCAGATCAGAATGAAAGAACTGTTTTTTTGCACCACGGCCACGGACGGGCAGAAAAATGCAGATTTCTACTACTAATATATTTCAAACTTCACATATTCAGAAATGTTTAGTTCTTTAATAACTTTCTATCTCTATCTCGATATACGCACAACAAAAGGAAAGAAAACTGACATCGAAGCAGAACGGAAAAACTACCATATTTTGAAACTCGTAGATGAACTACAGTACGAACTATAGTGTTAGATATCGTGAAAACCTAAGTGGAGGCTATCGCGACCGAAAAAACTACTGTACCACGATGAGATCTTTGCGTTGTGAAACGTAATAAACCACGATTTTCACCATAATTCCGAATATGTAAATTTCAAAATGTCCTTCTCTCTAGAAATAATCCATCAAATTTTGATATGAAAAGAGCTTTTAGTACGCAATGAATGCTCCTAATCGTCTTTATTCTCTCTGTAATATATCTACCCTATCCTAACTTCGTGCTTATTTCTACTCGTAAATATTTGACCCTTCAACATATTCGATACTTTTTCCTGTATATTCTGCAAACCACATGATGCGACTACACTATGAGTGCTTTTGTTTGAAGTACATTGACTGATAACTGATTATCGTCCAAAAATTTAGACAAAAGCTCATAATAACCTTAGCATATTCTTTCATACAATGATATTGTGAGAGAAATGGATGGGACTTCACTTGAGCACGTCTCATTTGGGTGCGCTCCCATTTTGGTGCGTCTTATTTTGATGCGTTTTTAATTACACAACTCATTTCTCACAAATATTTTGAAACTTTCGAATTGTTTCCGTCACGACTGTTTGAGATTAATTCTCAGTGGTTAGTAATCTTTTATAGTAAAAAGAGAAATAGCGTAGTTTACAATATTTTTGAACAGCATCATCCACATACTCTTGCTGCAGACCGATATTTTGAAGATTATGTTATAAGGTCTGATTGATATCGAACGGTTTTCTCTTGAACTAGTAAGAAATTTTATCCTATATACAATTTTCCATATTTATCCGGAGTACAAAGTTTTCGTAACGATCTTAGCAGCGGTGGTTCCTTCCTTTTTTATCTAGGATCTCGGCCGCGCAATGTGGGATTCTTTTAAGAAGTGCGTTTTATAGATTTAAGTTCCCTTATCATTATAATCAGAGTTACTTAGTCAAATCTAGTTTTGTATAATCTTTAAGAGTGTTAAGACGACCATGATAACCATATGCGCGACGTTTTCACAAGATCAATTCTTTTTGATGGCGTTCACTTCTATAGCTATATTCTTCAAATTGAGCTGCTGGCTTACTATGGCCTGTTTCGGATGTTTCAACTTTAGCCATATTTCTTGATACAGAAAACAGAAGATCATATGTTGTAAAAAGAGACGATGACTACCATGTGATATATTCCCGTTTCGTCGACTCATTAATTTCTTTCTTGATTCGTTGACAACATTTGGGGGGAGATGGAAAATATTTGTAAGCCGCCGACGCTATAAAATGTCGACGAATCAGGAAAAAAATTAATGAGTCGACGAAACGGGACCGAACCCTACTATGTGAAATGTCGGGAATATGGTTGTTCTGGTCATCTTAACACTCTTAAAGATTATACAAAACCAGATTTTAGTAAGTAATTCTTATTATAATGCTTAAGAAGCTTAAATTCATAAAACGCGCGTGTTCTGAAAGAAACTCCACATTCGCACGGTCTATATCCAGAAAAAGTTGTTGCTGATATGAAAAAAGATCTGAGCATCAACTTCCATAGGCTACTTTTCAAGCATCTAGTCAAGTTGTCACTGATCCACAAATAGTAGCCGCAATACCCAGTTTTGAAAGTCTCAGATCTACATTATATCGACATAAAGGAAATAAAAATGAACTACCGACACAAATGTCATTAAGAAATCTTGGTATTTTGGATAAATATGAAAAATTGTGTAGAGGAGAAAATTTCTTACAAGTTCAAAATTTAGGTAAGAGAAAACCTTTCGATTTTCTTATTCCTAAACGCTTTAATTTCCTGTTCAGGATATGTGGCACTCGCGATAGAACACGGGCTTCGCTTATTGTTTAGTGCTACAGAAGTTACCATGTTGATGGCAACTTTAAAGTTGCACCAACGTCACAGGCGGGTGGGACACCTCTTTTTTACACAATTCTCATTTTTCCGTCTATCATTCTACATTATTCTCATTTTCCAGTCTATATTTATTACCATTAGCGTTTGTTCTTTTTAATGGAAATCGAAAAAAAAATACTCAAAATTATTACGTTGTCTGAAAGATAAAGCATTCGCGTTAATGATATTATTTGCACTCGATAAAATAGTTCTCGGTTTTGAAACTGGTCTGGTACCAGCAATTCAACACGAGTTTCCATTATCGGAGATAAAAAGATATAATCACTCAGGCCTTATATCATAGTCTTCAAAATCTCGGTTTGCAACAAGAGTGTATGGATGATAAAGCTGTTCAAAAATATTGTAAGCTACCTCTTGCTTTTCCTCTTGCTTGATTACTCTTCAACAGTATGTTTTCTGAAATAGTTCGTATGATATCAAGCATCCCATTTCTACCAACATACTTAGTACAATCCACCTATGATGAAGTAGTTGATTCCACACCGTTACGTATACGACATAAAATGCAACCGTTTTTTATCATTATTTTTCAAACACCTGGCTAAATGGACAGTATGCTATTGAAGTATGGAATGTTTATGGTCAAGATAGGCGAATAAATAATGACGTTGAATCATGGCATTCTAAGTTGTCACATCTACTATAAACACAACTACTGTATGGAGATTGACTGAAACACTTCAAGCACAATACGTCTTAGTTCAACATGATATTGAGCGTTTACGTGATGGAACATATACAGGTCAAAAAATTTAAAATATCAAAAACTCAACAGAACAGTACAACGTATAACATATGATTTTAATCTAGGTCTAACTTAACTGTTAGATTATGTTTAAGCAATTGGAAGATGTTTTGCTACTGATAAACGTGCTTAACACGTGCTTAACACGTGGTGACGGAAACAATTCAAAAGTTTCAAAATATTTTGATAAATGAGTTGTGTAATTAAAAACGCATCAAAATAAGACGCATTAAAATGCAATGCACACAAATGAGACGCACTCATATGCCACGGCCTAGCAGGGAAGTTTTCGAACTTCTACAGGGGTTAGCGACCCTGGGCTACTGCAGCTACTCGTCTTGATCTCGGGCTAGTAACCCGTTTCAGGACTCTAAACTCACCTTGCTACAAAATAAACACAGAACAAGTGCGCGAACGCACAAAAACCAGTAAACTTCGGCTCCTGGAATGTTCGCTCATGTTTTCACTACGCAAACAACAACTCATCGTCCAATAGCTCTCTAAGTACAACATCCAAGTGGCAGCACTATCACGACGAAAACTCGAGTACCCCAAGACACTCTAGATAAAATCGATCGAAACGATATGGTTATGATCATGGGAGACTTCAACAGCCGCCTGGGATCAACTGAACATCTGACGGCACCTGAATGTGTCGGACCATTAACGACCGATGTCCTAAATGAAAATGGGATTCATCTGCTAGATCTTTGTCTGCAAAACAACCTGGTGGTGTCAAATACAACCTTCGTTCACAGAAAGATCCATCAGACGACCTGGATGCACCAAGGGACAAAGACTTGGCACACGCTTGACTACACCGTCGTCAACCGAAAATTTCGATCGAGCATCGAAGATGTCCGCTGTCTACGGAGACCTGCAGATGCAGTTGGTACCGACCACCATCTCCTACGAACAAAGGTCAAGCTTTATCTAAAAACTCGAAAGAAAAAGACTGAGCGACTGCCGCTGCTTGACAAGAAGAAACTGAATGACAATCAGGTACTTTACCAGTTTCAGCGTGGCTTATCGAGGGAACTGCAACAAGTGCACGATCCACAACATGACTTAGACCAACGGTAGGAACAGCTTGTCAGGGTAATCCAACAGACAGCCGAACAACACCTTGCTCCTGATCGAGGTAGCCAAGGAAAAAGAAAGGACTGGCTCACCGAGGAGATACTCAAGAAAGTAGAAAAGAAAGCTTCAGCACTACTCGAATGGCAAAACT